CACATGGGAGAGGAAAATTCTCAGGAATATATCTGACCCGGTAATATAACCTTTTGTTTGGGAAATTCTTTCATATACAGAGCTATACCTATTGTTCAAAGACCCACCCATAGCCGAAGTAATAAAAAAAAGGCAGACTGCATTGGACAAGACACATTAAAAGGATGCCGGATTTTAGAGCAGCATAAAACGATCAACAGGCAGAAAGCTAGGATGGATCGACGATGTGAAGAAGGACTTACACCGGCTGGAATTTAGCGGATGGAGGCGGAAAGACATGATCGATCCGAATGAAAGGATTTGGTGGAGCAGGCCAGGGCCCTACATGAAGACATTTCAGAATTTTGGGTGGGAAGAGCTAAAAATAGCCACAATAAAAGGGACATCTCTAACTCTTTCACCAGCTCATTATTAACAAAATTCAATCGAGTTGGGGGGCCCTTAAAGCTATGTTTTTTTGTCGATAGATCCTGCATAGCCTAGTCTCGCCCCTAATATCTTGATAGTCCCTGAAACATTTTTGATAGTTGACATAGTTAAATTTTATTTTGCATCATGATGCACTTAAGTGGAGAGCAACAGGAGATGTGCTAGTTAACATTTCAGTTGTCACTTGACCTCAGAGTCCTCATGTGGAGAGCAACAGGAGATGTGCTGTTTAACATTTCAGTTGTCACTTGACCTCAGAGTCCTCATGTGGAGAGCAACAGGAGATGTGCTGTTTAACATTTCAGTTGTCACTCGATCTCAGAGTCCTCACGTGGGCTTTGCATGTTTCGTAAATTTTAGGGGCTGTAAATACTCTTAATTATCGACATTTAATGCTAGGTAAGGAAGGACAAAACTGAAAAGTAGCAGGGGGGGGGAGCACAAAAAGTCAAGCGACGCCTCTGCTTCACCAGATGTGTTATACTAATATATATTTTACATATTACTGGATAGTCATTTTTTTATATTTTTCTTATTTTATTTAGTTTTTGGGATGAATTACTTAAAACATAAATATAGTTTTAAAAAAAATCTTTAGAAGGATGAAAAAGATTCCTTCCAAATAAATGTATCCATCACAAATAAGAACTGCTCAAATAATGTTACATGTTGATCGAAAAAAAAAGAAACCTAAATCATACGTTTATTTCTAAATATTTCCAAGTGTTACCAAAGTCAAAAGAAAAAAAAAACACAAAAAACTCTTTTATAGAGAGCGCTATACATGTTTATGGATTTTCAATATTGTTATTTTTTATAATCGTATATAACCGGTATAATTATGTTAAGAAGATATAAGTTGTTTACAAAAGCCATCATATATTTATTAATGTATGATTTTATGTGATTTTAAAAAAAAAATATTTAAAAAAGCAACAAAAAAAAACACAACGATGTCGTTTAACTCTGCTGTTCCCGGAAATGTGTTACACAATTAGAAACGCACTCGGATGAATGATAATTGACGAACAATCCACAATTTGCATGCAAACGTTAAATTCCCCATTTTTGTTTTAAAATATCTTTTTTTTTTTTTAAAGTTTCATTTTATTTCACTAAATATACAAGGATGGAATCAAGGACATTAATATTTATGTCAAAAACGAATATTTAAAAGCATGATGCTATTACACATTTTATGATTTAACACTTATCTCTACTTTAACAGTCATGCTTTTATGATAGAATGTAATTTGAAAACAGACGGCACATGTTTAAAACTTAGCAACAACTATATTCAATTTATAGACCTTTATATCGATGTAAAGTTAGTTTAATAAAGTGTTATTTAAGTCTTTCAGCTTGTGCAGCAGAAAAATATAAATGAATAAAAATGCAGATAAATGCGAAAAATTAAAAGAACAATTTGGCCTGTGATCAGGAGCGACTGCCCCCCTGAAAGTATGCCTGGATGAAACCCTGCACCCAATTCCAACCACGCGCCCTCGCCTTCTCCCCGTTCCCTTAGTGGAGCAGACGTGGACAACTATGATAAATTTAGTGAAATGTCAACCAGCCTTAAGTCCAGTTGTTCACCAGGTGAAGACCGCACAAGAAATTCACAAATCTCATAATCTCATGTTTGTTACAAAAAAAAAAAAAAAAAAAAAAAAAAACTGTTACATCCACACGCAGGCTGGAAATGAGGGAAAAGAGAAATTCTAATTATATAAAGTCCGGGGCTTGGAGCACAGGCGTAGCGACAGTGTTTGGCGCCCGGGTAAAACTGTCCCCGCACCCACCACCCCCCTCCCCCCCCCCACTTTCGCTACGCCTCTAGCTTGGAGATTATTATCAAAACTTAAAATAACATTCCGAAATGTGAATAGATCTCGGCAGCTGGGACTTGCCATCAGCAAAACTAGAATAACCCAGGCTGAAATTCCAGGGAAATAATATTACATCACGATCGGGAATTCCCCCTTTGAGCAGTGCTCGAGCCGTGGCTTCAACGGCGCCATCTATTTTGGTAAGTATTAATTTGTTTGTCAACATTTGAAAGGCGCGGCGCACCGTAAATTATTGTACGATCGTATTTAATCTTCCATAAATGCTGCATACAAAGACAGCAATTATCCTAAACACAAGCAGCTTCTTTGCAATAATCTAGGTCAAGCCCTCGTGTTACTTTTTTTTCCCCAGGTAAATGCAAAGTTGATGATCTACTTCTAACCTTGCTAAGCACCAAACCAATAATCAAATCTGTTTTGGCTATAAATAAATCTTTTGCTGTAAATTAGAGTCATTTGTGTTCAGCAAGGCATGCGCATAGTTCATGTGCATATAGATTGTGTGCACATAGTTTTGTGTGCATATAGTAAATTTGCATATATTGTTTATGGGCTTTTAGTTTATATACATATAGTTTGTTTATATATATATATATACATAGTTATATATACATAGTTTATGTGCATATAGTTTTGTCAATGTACATTATGTGGACATAGTGTATGTACATACGGTTTATGTGCACATAGTTTATGTGCATATAGTTTCTGTGCATATAGTTTATTTGCATATAGTGAATGTACCTATATGGTTTATGTGAATATAGCTTATTCCCATATTGTTCATGTGCTCGTGGTTTATGTACACATAGTTTATGTACACATAGGTTATGTGCATATAGCCTATGTACCCATGGTTAATGTGCATATAGTTTATGTGCATATAGTTTATGTGCATAAAGTCTATGTAATTAAAGCAATTGCAAACTTTTAAGCAGCGTGACACCATCTGCCCTATATAAAAAAAACTGTTTTTACTTTTTATTATTCACAAGTTAATTTTACATTGGACTTCTGCAGAAATCTCTTTACATCAAATGCCAGCAGTTGCGTGGGAATGGTGGGGTGGGGTGGGGTTGGTGGGGGGTTCCGTGACAGTCCGTCCTTTAACAAATCAACCAAATTTTCGGCTTAAAATAATTTAAGGTCAACACAAAATAATTTTTATTAAAAAAAAAAACAAAAAAAAACCCAACTAAAATATTAATAAAATCAGGGTGTATAATTGATCAAGGAACAAAAATGAACACACTGTAGACCAGCAGTTCTCAACCTGTGAGTCACGACCCCTTTGGCGGTCGAACGACCCTTACACAGGGGTCACCTAAGACCATCGGGAAACACACTTTTAGGAAATAGCAACGAAAATAATTTTGTGGTTGGGGGTCACAACAACATGAGGAACTGTATTAAATGGTCGCGGCATTAGGAAGGTTGAGAACCACTGCTGCAGACAGTAAGAAACGATGAGAAGCAGACATGTCTTAAAGATTGACGCTAAGGTTTACTGTGTCAAACGTCAAATGCATAAGGTTTAAGTAGGTTAAATTTAGTAAAACAATGTATTAATGTTTACATTTTAATGGCTAAGATGTATGTTGACAGCTTTTTTTTTATTTTTTTTTACCAATAACACTACCTCGTGGTCAAACTATGAGAAAATAAATCTGATATATACGAAATATTGAAAATGATAGGTATTTAAGTTTCACTGATTCCATGGAACAAGATTTGTTCCTTAATTTCATTGGATTGAAACAGGAAAAAAGGGGGGTGGGATGGGGGGTAGTATAAACAAAGAATGTATCGTGCATAGTGTTGGAAATTGACAAAATCCTGAATGCTAATTGCGCATTGTTTTGCACACCACATTATTTATTGTGTAGTGACGTCATGTTTTTATGCTGTCTTGTCGCGTGCTCCATGTTGGTAGGACTCCATGTTGTTCTCCTACAATAAAACGTTGAACTAACCTTGATGGTTACCTCTGTTGTTTGATTACCTTCCTTGTGAAGTAGCTTAGCAACTTAATATTTTCAACCCACACATGCCCCCCCAATTAAGTTCTCGTCCACACGAGAAACATATTGGGACATGTTTAATTAAATTTGATTGGTTTTAATCGCATATATTAAAACAGAGCTGTCATATATTGAAGCAGGCCCGCCAGCACCTACTTTGCGGCCCTTGAAATACAGAACATTCATTATTATATTATTATTTTCTTAATAGCTTACCACCTCGTTCCGTTTCCTTGCAGGCCCACAAAAGTTTTTCATAAATAAATAGGGCCCGCCCTACATGTTAGATTGTGCAGGCCTGTATTAAAGCATATCTGTCAGAGATGTCACACATGGGACAAAAGATAATAGAATTAAATCTTTTGGGGCATGGAATTATTAAATTTTCACTACATTTTTAAAGGCCTAATTGCCTAATATCAACAAGACATTTCATCTTTTTAAATTTTACTCAAACTATTATTAACATAATTTCACAAACATTGTTTGAAATTGTAAAGTTGTTATAGCTATATTAAGGGAATTAAAATTAATATTTAAGCAATTATAAACAAATCCAAATGATAGAAAGCTTTTTACATCAACCCAATGCTAATATTTTAAACTCTTCCCAGCTAGTGGGAATTCCAGAAATGACGTAAATTGTAATAATACCCCAAGCACAGTTGTTTTCAACGTAAATATCTGGTTTTTATTTCTAGGAAAAGCCAAAAGCTTTAATGATATGTGTTGAGCATCACATTATGCCTGACACAGATCTGCACTAACGTCGAGTGATAGGAATTCGTTGGTGAAACGGAGACGCAAAACAATACAAGGTATGTTTACTTTAGTTTAAGTATCTTGCTCGCCTAAGTTCAAAAAGTTTATACTTTACAGGTAGAAATATGTGTTTTTGTTCACTAAAATGACTTTTCATTGCCATTATTAATTTCAAAAATAATAATTTAATGTGTGATTTTCTTTTCATAAATGAAACATGATGCTACGATTTCTTGAGAGGCTGGTTACTGAGTAGTCATGGCTTCATTTTCCCTTTTCTTAGTCTTTGTAACTGTAACTAATATCGTGCTCGTTGCGAAGCATAATTTGGATACGATAGCCTTTAGAGAAACCTTTTCACTTTTTGTTGTTGTTGAGTTTTTGATTCCTTACAGATCGCATCATCCAGTTTTGAACATCTGGGATAAAGTTACAAGGAATTTTTAAAATGGCAGCATGCCAGGATGACATGGACTCGCTCACTATGGAAGCCAGAGGTCACGTCCAGGCTATCAGCAACGAGTTCCTCTGCTGTGCGATATGCAATGAACAGTTTGATAGAGTCGATAAGGTACCCATCACGTTGCCATGCCGTCAATCCTTTTGCCGGCCATGTCTAAAAAGAACGGTTGGCTCTAAGCACAGACTCAACTGTCCCGTCTGTCGCAAGGCTCCGGAAATAGAAGGGGGAATTGACGCTCTTCCTGCTGATTTCAGAATTATGAGAATGCTCGAATTAATTTCAAATCAAATCAAGCACACCTGCTTTCAGCACAAGGCACAACGATTAAATTTCTTTTGCGCCAGTTGCAAAACGCCGATCTGCCACGACTGCACTGTTATAAAACATCCGAAAGAAGAAATGCATATGTTTAAACAATATGGCCCTCGAGAAGTGAAAGATATGGGGAAAAGCAAACATGTAATCATAGATATTTTAGATGCTTTTGAGAATTATGAACCGATATTCAAAGAACTTGAACAGTTCGGCCTTAGGATGATTGATGCCTTGAAAATCAAGGTACAAAAGTACAAAGATGAGCTGAGAGAGCTTGAAAAGATGCACGGAGTTGTCATAGATGATATTTCAAAAAGGTTCGATTACTACCGCGCACTTCTCAAACAGCGAGAAACTGCAACCTCTCGGAGAGCAGACACCCTCATACGAGAGCAGAGAGACACAATTGAACGTGCCTGCACAGCAATGGAAAAAGAGCTGCAATCTCTCAAAATTCTTCAAGAACAATTTAAAATCGTCAGAGTAAATAAAGACACCAGACTTTTGTTCAAGGAGTTCCACGAATTTGAAAAGCGTAAGACTTTCTTCATCAGTCTCGCGCATCCAGAACTGGAATCCTTCTTCAAAAAGTTCATCTACACAAACGCAAAGGAAGAAGAGTTGAAAGCGGCGCTGATGGAGTCTGTTGGTGATGTGGAGCTGGTCAAATGCAAAGATGACGATTTCATCGGTCGTGATTTCGAGGTGGGTAGTTAAACGTCTTATCCACTTGTTATGACTTCTACGTCTAAGATTGAAAAAAAAATTATCTTTGTGTTATCGTTATAATTTTTTTTTTAAGTGCCATATTTAAATATAAAAACCGCTTCGTTAATATTGGAACTTTTTTTGCAAAAATAATAAAATAAATATAAAAAAACAACATGAATGCTGATAGTATTTTGATCTACCGATGTACATATTGGCAATTTGCCTTGAAATGGTGGTTGGCCAAGGGATATTGCCATTGGTGTCTTGAGTGTGCTGCGTTGACAAGGTATTTTTTAAACAAAAATCACTGTTAAGTGTGGAAATAATTTCAATTCCAAAAGTTTCCTGGCCTGTTTTTAGGTTTCATTTGATTGGAAAATGTAAAAGTTTTAATGCTGGTTGGCGCATGAGTGCCGTCGGAAAGAAGATGGCGGCCACGTCAAGAAATGTTGTACTCAAAAAGGGTTGATCCTTACTCGGTTTTGTGCTTATTTCGGGAAAAGTGAGTCTCATCGCGGGAAATTATGGGGAAAAATAATTTAACCACACTTTTGTTATTGAATTAACTGTAAAACTGGGATTTTATTATTTTCATAATGTTTTAGTCAATGAGAGACCATTGAGAGGTTAGTTGAGGTTTTTTTTCACATATTCCATTATGTTGCTTCATTTTTACCTCACTTACCGCTAGTCATAGCAGATAACAAGCTTATATGTTATTCTTTTAGTCAATAGCTCATATGACTGACTGAAGAAAAACATTACACTGCATTGGAGTTTGCATTCTTCACAAGTCACACATTCTAGCTTAGAATTGTTCACTTCACATCTAACATGAGACGTTTGTGAAATTTTAAACTGGTTCGTTGAAAACTAAATACTTAATATGGGTTTATGGTTGAGGTGCGTGTATGTGTGGGGTGCCCTGTGCGGTGTTGTGAAGGTGTGGTGTGGGGTGGGTTTGGGTGGTGGTGTGGGTGCTGAGATGGGGTGGGGGCGTGGTAGGGTTGACGGTGTGGGTGGTGGGGGGTTGGGGTGGAAGGTGGGTTAAGGGTGTGTGTGATGAACGTGGGTAGGGTGGGGTGTGGGTGGGGGATGCACGCATGTATATTCAAATGTCAGCTAGTCAGTAAGTCATTCCTCCGTATTCTGAGAGCCAGTGCCAACAATGGAAAATTCACTAAGAACGTATGGACCAGGAGAGTAATCAGCACTCAAACTATACTAAAGTATCAGGCGGCTGTTCTCCCTATGATTCTCTATGCCTTGAAACGCGGACGGTGAACAAAGACATGCAAGAATGTTGAACCACTTTCATACAACAAGACTCAGAAAAATCCTCAAAATTAAATGGAAGGACAGGGTCCCAGACACTGAGGTGCTCACACGGTCAGATGTCCCCAGCATCTTTATCATCTTAATGAAGTCCCAGCTTAGCTGGGCGGGACATGTTGTGAGAATGCCAAAAGAATTTTCCATGGCGAGCTCGATCAAGGAAAGCGGTCGGCTGGCGGGAAAAAGAAACATTTTAAATACAAACTAAAAACATCACTGAAAGAGTTCCAGGTAAACCCAGGCAAGTGGGAGGAAACAGCAAAGGATCGAACATCATGGCGTTCCACTTTACACAGGAGCTCCATGCAACATGAATTTGGCAGAACAGCGGCTGCAGAGCGCAAGAGACATGCCAGGAAGGTCCGATCTTACTCTGCTCCTGGAGATGCCCCATTATTTCCCTGAACCTGCTGCACAAGAAAATTTTGAGCCAGAATCGGCCTCATTAGCCATCTGCGCACCCACAGACAGAACTAGGACAAACTCTGATGGTCAAAGTTGTCATGGTCGACTCCCGACTGACGAACAACAAGTCATTCCAAAAAAGTAATGACTCATTTTAATTTAACTGTATTTTGGCATTTGGCCTCTTAGGAAAGCTTTCAATTCATATCCTCGTAAATATTTGTAAAACGTTTTTTTTTTTTTTCAGTGCAACACGGATGAAATGTGCTCTTAGAAAACTGCCCTGCTAAATACAGCGAGATCTTGGCTAACACACTCAAAACGTTTCGTGGCTCTGGTCTTTAAATTTACTAATTGAAACAATGTTTCACATTAAAGTCAATGTTAATTCAATTAATCTTTTCAAGACTCAGAAATATATATTTTTTATTATTATTTTTTTTTTTACATTTTTAAGTGTTGCTCGATAATGAAAGTTATATCATTGTATCTGAAATAGCAGTTTTTCCATTCTCCATATCTTATAACCAGCAACCTCTTCATATCTTCTAACTAGCCGCCTCTCCATATGTTAAAACTAGCAGCCTCTCAATATGTTATAACTAGCAGCCTCTCCATATGTTAAAACTAGCAGCTTCTCCATATCTTAAAACTAACAGCCTCTCCATATGTTAAAACAATCAGCCTCCCCATATGTTAAAACTGGCAGCCTCTCCATATGTTAAAACTAGCAGCCTCTCCATATGTTAAAACTAGCAGCCTCTCCATATCTTAAAACTAACAGCCTCTCCATATGTTAAAACTAGCAGCTTCTCCATATCTTAAAACTAACAGCCTCTCCATATGTTAAAACTAGCAGCCTCTCCATATCTTAAAACTAACAGCCTCTCCATATGTTAAAACTAGCAGCCTCCCCATATGTTAAAACTAGCAGCCTCTCCATATGTTAAAACTAGCAGCTTCTCCATATGTTAAAACAATCAGCCTCTCCATATGTTAAAACTAGCAGCTTCTCCATATCTTAAAACTAACAGCCTCTCCATATGTTAAAACTAGCAGCCTCCCGATATGTTAAACTAGCAGCCTCTCCATATGTTAAAACTAGCAGCCTCTCCATATGTTAAAACTAGCAGCTTCTCAATATCTTAAAACTAACAGCCTCTCCATATGTTAAAACTAGCAGCCTCCCCATATGTTAAAACTAGCAGCCTCTCCATATGTTAAAACTAGCAGCCTCTCCATATGTTAAAACTAGAAGCTTCTCCATATGTTAAAACTAGCAGCCTCTCCATATCTTAAAACTAGCAGCCTCTCCAGATGTTAAAACTTGCAGTTTCTCCATATGTTAAAACTAACAGCCTCTCCATATGTTAAAACTAGCAGCCTCTCCATATGTTAAAACTAGCAGCTTCTCCATATCTTAAAACTAACAGCCTCTGCATATGTTAAAACTAGCAGCCTCTCCATATCTTAAAACTAGCAGCTTCTCCATATGTTAAAACTAGCAGCCTCTCCATATGTTAAAACTAGCAGCCTATCCATGTCTTAAAACTAGCAGCCTCTGCATATCTCAAAAACAGAAGCCTCTCCATATCTTACTAACCACGAATTCCACTTCTTCGGTGAAATTAATACAACTACTGAAAACTCATTTTAAAGACTGTACTGCATTGACCATCAATTCACAATCTCATTTGCGCCATGTGTATCTTTAAAAACCTCTAGGAATTTGAGTTCCGACACTACAACCAGGGGGAAAGCCAAGTGCCCCCCGGAGAAAAAATATATTTAGCAGTAAATCAACTGGAACTGCTGGCACTGCCCCCCTCCCTGAGAAATCTGAATAAAACTGAAAGGCCCCCCCCCCCCCCCGAAAATCTGGAATGCCACATGGGGGAAAATTTCTGAAAGAAACAGTGACTACAACTGATTGCAGCCCATTCCTAGAAATTCCACAAACCAAGCAGCAACATCGCTTAAGAAATATAAATGCCAAAGCACTGATATAAACATACAGAAGTTGACAAAAGTATACCTGTCTTTCTAGGTTAAATCATTTAAAAATATTTTTATGGTCATTAATATTTATTTGTAGTTGATTTGCCTGTTATCTCTTTTGACAGCTTCTGGAACAATTTTTATCTTATGGACGTCTCTTCAACCCTTTGACTTCTTTAATGGATGATTGATTGAAGAAGATAGATTGTGTAAAATCGACTTTCGATCTTTGGGGATTCTTTGGAGACGTTTTTGCCTGGATTTTGTCAAGTTCCCCAATCATCAAATGTCCACTTCTGCAAATGGACGAAACATCTTGGCACCAGGGGGTCACAGGAGTCGGCGGACATTTCCTTTAACTCAAGGCCATACCTCTTACGGATCTGTAACCTTCAATGGATTTGTTTTTAGCCGCAAGCCATGTTCGCGGTTTCCATCTCTCTGATGAACTACCCGCTTAATTCCCCGAGTCCCCCCCCCCTTTTCGGACAACGTGAAGGTGTTTTTTTAAACATTTATTTGTTTCCTACTTGGCTTTGAACTCAAGTCAACTGAAAATGAACTGTAAAATAAACATATTGTTTTCTTTAAGTAAAGTATGTTCACCCTCACATGTCACTAGACGTTTTGCGCGATGAAGAAGGCACAAGCATGAGGTAGGATGCACTGAAAATTGACCGTGCTGTAAGCATATTATGCTACTTAATTAAAGCATTTTCATCCTCATATGTCAGCCGCCTTATCAGGATGGAGATAGCACAAGCGTGGGGGGGTGGGGGAAGGCGATTTATTTTTATTGATGATTTTAAATACCACAAAAATCCTTTTTTTTTTTTTTTTGCACGACGTAGTTGTAGAACGTTTCTTCAGTAAATAAAGTTATAGTTCACGATCGATGTTGCTTTTTGTTGTCGTTGTCCTTTGCACGCAAAGAGGACCAAGTCTGTTGCAACGAAGAGCAAGCAGATAGCTTTGGGTGGCGAGCCACTACATTTAAGTTGAAAAGACTTTTCCTTATAGGTGTGTTACGCACTGCCTTCTATAGTGAGAAATTAATCTCTTTTTTAAAGTTTATGGCTCGTTCTTAAAAGCAAAGGACGACACCACATGAGAAATAAAATAGCAAAAATACGACACTCAAAACAGTTGCTAGTTACAATTAATAAGATTTATTTAAGTATGAATATAATTACAAAATAAAAGAAATATAATTAAAAATCATTAACTTACAGAGTAGGGTATGTCTTGTACCGGTATACAGTCTAGACAATGTGCCAAAAAATAAGGAACAATGAATACGAATAAACACATATAAGTACACACAGAATAATACATCCTTGTCTCATGAAGTCAAAATATCTCTCTCTGCTCCAAAACAGAATCCCGCTTTTATATTCTATCCTACTGAAACAACTGCTTTACACATTGTTTACCAGTCTATTTCACTTCCGAACTTTCCACAAAATTCTTTAAGAAAAATTAGAACATATCAATTATTTTTAGTTGGTAGTGGTAGTAAACAAGGCCAAGATCAAAGGATATAAGCCACACCCAATACGAACGCAGCCTAATTTGGGGTCAGATAGAGTTCACGGCACGCGGAAAGTGTCGTCGTCTACATAACAAGGTGACAAAGAAGAACTTTATAGGTGACACGCAAGAACTTTATAAGTGACACGCAAGAATTTTTTAGGTGACAGGTCATTACATTTTCGGCGATATTAAATTACGTTTTAGTTGATATGACCATATGTTTTTGGTAATACGACATTACATTTGAGGTGATATGACATTACATTTTGGGTGACAATGACATTACATTTTGGTGACAATGACATTACATTTTGGGTGACAATGACATTACATTTTGGGTGACAATGACATTGCATTTTGGGTGACAATGACATTACATTTTGGGAGATAATCACGTTACATTTTAGGTCATATGACATTACATTTTCGATGACAATGACATTACGCTTTGTTTCATATGACATTACATTTTATGTGCAAAGTCATTACCCAATAAGTGACACGCAAGTACGTTTTATTTGACACGCCATTTCTTGACAGATAAAACCCCACTCCATTTTACCTTGCACATTGTCACAACCTTACCATCTTCCCCATCCACTGATTGTCACAACCTTACTACCTTCCCCATGCATCAACTGACTGTCACAACCTTACTATCTTCCCCATCCACTGATTGTCTCAACCGTACCATCTTCCTTAGCCACTGATTGTCAAAACCTTACCATTTTCGTTAGCAACTGATTATCACAGCCTTACCATCTCCCCACCCAAATATGAACACCTCATTGACGGAACTAGGCCAAACTAAGTAGAAAACACCTCATAAATGGAACTTGGCCAAACTTAGTAGGCAAAAACCTCTTTAATGGAACTTGGCCAAACTTAGTAGACAAACACCTCATTAATGGAACTTGGCCAAACTTAGTAGACAAACACCTCTTTAATGGAACTAGGCCAAACTAAGTAGACAAACACCTCATTAATGGAACTTTGCCAAACTTAGTAGGCAAACACCTCATTGATGGAACCAGGCCAAACTTAGTAGACAAACACCTCATTAATGGAACTTGGCCAAACTTAGTAGGCAAACACCTCACTTGCCAGAAGAACATACAGACACACAAGCAGAGTGTCACAAGAACATAAAAGCTCAAGAACATACGTGCACAACAACATACTGGCACGAAAACATAGAAGCACAAGAACATAACACAAGACCAAGAGGCACAAGGACAGAGTATCTCAAGAACACACAGGAAGGAACGACATATTTTATGGCATTGTAGTCACATGAACCTCTGCAAAATAATTAATAAATAGTAAAAATATTAATATTTGAATTTTTTCATTATAAATATCAATAGTTCATCTAAAATAAAGAGTATTTCTTTGTGTATGGCACAAATGGGCTGAGAGAGGAAACGATGGGCGTGGGTACCGGAAATAGGTGACCGACTGGTTAACCTGACATGGCTGAATGTATGGTTTGTAAAGTTAGTCCGAAGCAACATTAGACATAAATATAAATACGAACTATGGAAATATCACGCTTAAAAAAATACAACACAATTACGTTTTATTCAAAGTCACCTATCAATCATTTCATTGAAAATCAAAATTCTCCACCTTATCAGTTTTAACTAACTAAATCGCAAGTCCAGAAAGCATGTATTGCTCCAGGGTGGCTCGCAAACACTTCAGATTCATCTTTGAAAAGCTCCTCCCACATAAAGCTACAAACACACATATTCAGTTTTGAAAAGCAGCTCTTACATAAAGAGCTACAAACACACAGATTCAGTTTTGAAAAGCAGCTCTTACATAAAGAGCTACAAACACACAGATTCAGTTTTGAAAAGCAGCTCTTACATAAAGAGCTACAAACACACAGATTCAGTTTTGAAAAGCAGCTCTTACATATACAGCTACAAACACATAGATTCAGATTTTAAAAGCTCCTCTCACATGAAGCTAAAAACCTTTGGCGCCCTTATTATGGGTCGCTATGGGTCATGCAATTAATTATTTTAAAAAATAAACACATTTCAAATTCCATTTTCAACTGTTGGTGAAGAACAGATGGGATTATTGTTATGGTCTGCAATATTATTTAACGAATTGGTATTTTGTTTTCAATGGCTCGCACTATGCCCATAGCTCAATGCAGGGAAGAATGCACCTAGCGAGTTGGGCATGTAATTTAAGCCAGGCGACCAAGTCAGACATGAGATTATGTTCAAATTTTTTGTTGTTTGTTGTCTAAACGGCTTTATAGTATGGCAATATTTAACATTGGCGCTTATAAATGAAGAAAATGATAAATTCGCTTGAATCTTGAACTCAAACTTCCGTCTGAAGAGTGAAATTCGCAGCCAAAAATTATATCCAAACCCTTCACGCCATTTAGAAACAGTTTTACGCTGACTGGAAAAAAAAATATTTTATTAAAAAATATAACAAAAAGAAGCAAAAAAGAACACGAAGGTGGCGTAACAATCCCGAGAGAGATAAGAGATCAAATGAGACGGCGTCAAGTAGCACGGTTACGCTGTGTATAGTTACGAAACTTTGTCATTCTAAACACTTAGTCAATCTGTCTTCAAATAAAAAAAAGAAAAGAAACGGGATTTAATTTCATGACTGGTTCCGTGTTGTTCACAGGATTAAGAGGCAGACAAGGTTCGTCCCTGGCGCCATGAAGTCGTAATGGGGATTTAATTGTACATAATTTCAGCATTGTCATTAGAGGCAGGTAAACTGCACACAATAAAAATGTGTGTAAACTACACTCGTCGCCAATGGGGATTAGGCTGAATCTCTGTGCTTATTTACGCGACGTGTGTGTGTGTGTTTTTTTTCAACTTTAAATTACCAGCCACACAAGGGAGGTGGCAGTGCGTGTACTTCCCGTCCACTAAATTTACTTTATCAAACATTTTTTTTTTAGATCACGCAGTTTATAAGAATCCCAATTAGTGGTAACTTCTGGGAATTTTATTTTGAGCGTCTATTAAACAGCGTGTTACAGCCATTTATTGATACCTAGAATTTTTTTTTTTTTATAATCTCTGTGCTTATGAATATACCAAATGTTTCGTCGTTTTTTTTTGTTTTTTTTCTGTGGTACAAATGTATTTCTAGAGTCCAAAGGTGCGAACCAAGACTCGTACTATTTGCGTTTAAGTGTTTCCATCGGTGTGGAAAGCTTATATTCCAACTCCAAAAATTGGAGGGCAATGCTGGGGCTACCCAGCCGCAACAATGACCCTTCTCAGGAGACAATCCCAACACGCTGCTTAAGTGCCACTGTACCTTCACAGATAGGGTCTGTGAAAATCTTAAGTGCCATTGTACCTTCACAGATAGGGTCTGTGAAAATCTTAAGTGCCATTGTACCTTTACAGATAGGGTCTGTGAAAATCTTAAGTGCCATTGTACCTTCACAGATGGGTCTGTGAAAATCTTAAGTGCCATTGTACCTTCACAGATAGTGTCTGTGAAAATCTTAAGTACCATTGTACCTTCAATGATATGGTCTATGAAAATCTTAAGTGCAATTTGTTACGCACTGACTTGTATTCGGAGAAATTAATCTCCTATTTTAATTTTAATTGGCTCGTTGTAAGCAGTGCCTAACAAAGGACGATACCATAGAATCAACAATAATAAAGATATGACCAAAAACAGTTTCTAGTTACAATTAATTAAGATTTAATATGTCTTAAGATAATTACAAAAGAAAAGAAAAATATAATTACAATCTTCAACTTACAGTATGGTAGATCTTGTACCGGTATACAGTTAACACAGTTAGAATAATTTGCCAATAAATAATGCGAAATAAACACATATAAGCTCACAAATACACAAAAAATAAAACACGCCTCGTAATGTTAAGAAAATTTATCTGAAAATCTCCGTCCCACGTCCGTGCCTGTCAATCCCTTATATAGGTGGTTCTACCGACACCTAAGCCCTGCCTTCTACAAGATACGTGGCATTTCTAGAACCATCAGATTCATTCTACAAAACACTACTTGGAACAGATTAATTATTTTTAGTAGTTGGCGGTGTAAACAAGAATACATCAAGGGCCTACGCCACACCCCTTTGTGAACACAGCGTCTCATGCGGGGTCAATCAGAGGGCACGCACGAGAAATATAATGTAAACAAGCTCTCTATAACACATTGTACCTTCACAGATAGGGTCTATGAAAATCTTAAGTGCCATTGTACTTTCACAGATAGGGTCTATGAAAATCTTAAGTGCCATTGTACCTTCACAG